GTTAGTGCAACACACTTCACCTAGAGAGGGATTCAGGAAGGAACAAAGTAGGCTCTGGTACCTGGCTCTGCCGGGCATGAGTCACCAGAAAGAATCCAATGCATGTGCAGGGAACATGTTAACAATCCTGCAGCTCTGGTTCAAAGGAGGGCCCCCACTTTTTTTTAACCCTAAATCTAGTCTCTATCAGTACGAATGGTGTAATAATTTCTTAACATTCAAAATGCAGTATAATACTTTCACAGATCCTAGGGTTAGGAGATAGACAGAAATCTCCACGTTCATATTTCCCAATCTTCTAAATCTTGGTGATAATTTTCAGATCACATGTTTACCCTAAGTTTGAAAAGCACCAATTTATATATACTATGGCATTTTCTGTATGAGCTGGGGGAATAGGGAGGATCCGGGTTTCGGAATCACACAGATCTGGTTCCTAGCAAACTACTTACCATCTCTAAGTCTCAGCTTTCCCACTCACAGATGGGTGGCAATCTCTATGTTTCGCATGAGTATAATGACCAAACGAAAACTGAATTTCAAGACATTGGAAACTTAACCAGGAAAATAATATATGGTCAAACATGTTCACAGGTGGATGTTACTGAGTACACTCAACACATGGACAATTATTTCACACATCTTAGTTTTCAATTTTTTAGACATCTTAAATAAACTAAAGCCAAAGAAAAGTCCATTGATGAACTTATCAGAAAGTATGTCGGTTTTCAAAACTCAATGGATGGACATAAACAATCATTTCACAATGCTTTCGACAAAACAAGATGCGTTCTCTCCCACTCTTAACAATTTTAATGTTTTCCCATGGTCATTGTGCAGCAGGGCTTTAAGCAAGTGTATTCAGCCTAATGAGAGTCAGTTTCTCAAATGAGTAACAGGTATACAGGAATCCAACAGATCTGACTGATCTAGCTCCATCACCAGCTGGCTACTATGAACTTGGGTATATGACTTATGCCCCTAGGCCTGTTTCTTCATTTTTATAAGGGGAATAATACCCACATGATTGATATGACTGCTGGACCAACAGCAGTGGTTTCTGCAGCAGTAGAGGCTGTAGTTAAGGGATGGATAAACTGGTTGCCCTGCTCCAGGACTGCTTATACATACTCAAGACCTTTACTGAGGCTCTCCAAGTCTCAGAGGTTGAGCAGGACGCTGGACAAGTACAAAAAGACGAAAGTGCTCCAGCAGGTTGCTTGGACTGGTGAGGTTGAGAGCAGTTAGAGGGTCCAAACACTGATGGAGCTGGTGGACAAAGCCTTTGCCAGGAGGCTTATTCAAAGACCAGCAAATGGAAAAATAGAACTAATAATTTCTCTTATGTTCCCCAATTCCAAATTCCACAAACCAAAGTCGACTGATTTCTACAAGGCTAAGTGCACCAGGTACTCATGTCACAAAATGACAACCATAGTCAGACACACTCCAGCAATCAATCCACTGCCATGGGGGGAAGAGCAAGAATTACCAGTAGGGTCTGGAAACCTAAATATGGTTCCCAAGAGAATCACAATGGTAATCTCATGCATGAAAATCTCTTAGCACTTTAGTCCACAGAGACCTGCAAGTTGCCACTCCTCTTAAAAAAAAAAAAAAAAAAACCCAGAAATTGTAAATGCCCACTCTTAAGTTTAGGAAAAGCCAAGTCTTTAAAACAAATCAGAGAGCCAACAATTTTTCAATTACTTTTGCAGAACCCTTATCAGAATTAGACCCTAATCCCAACTCTCAGGAAATCCACACCACAATATATTACAGGACAGTTACATAAAAAGGCAACTGTATTTCTACACAGGATTTCTGCAAAAGCTGGGTCATTTTTCAAGGCAGACACACCATTATCAGGTATGATCACTTGATAACTTCACATTTCTCCACACCCTGCGTATGTATGTGGTTCATTCACCTTGCTGGGTAGGTTCTCCGCAACTCCCCATTTGACAAGTTCAAGGTTCTAAGAGGCAAAACACCTGGCTGAACTAGGAGATCAGTATATCCAAACTTGCTCCAGTCCAAAAGCTTGTGTGATAAATTCCTGAATCATTCCTTACAGTAATTTGCATTTTACTACACCCTTTAAAAGCTGGTATCTCATTCAGTGCTTACAATAGCCCAGAACTTGTAAAGATGACTAACCCAATATTAAAACTAAAGAAACAAATAAGTTTTTTTAAATTAAAAAAAGGAGCGGTAAATAAAAGATGAGATGATCTTACTGGCATCTCCAAACACATCAATGGAACAAAAACTTCAGAAGCAAATTGTGGTTACTTTTGACATTCGTTTAAATACAGATGAAAACTTAATTATCAGTGCAAACTCAATCACTGCTGTGTAGAATTCAGAGTATGACTTTAGCCAGCACCAATTACCCAGTATCCAGAGCCTTAAGAAGCACGTATTTTCTGGAAAATCCTCGTTATCAATAGTTAAGGGGGTACACTTAAAATTCACCTTTTTCAATTATTTTAACCTTGTTCCAACTCCTTCTTTCCAGGGCATTTTCTGGCGGTGTAAAGGAATCCCTATTTCTCATCTTTTCCTGCCCATTTTCTCGTATGAATATAAAAAATGAAAGGGGAATAAATGTGAACATCTAAATATTAAAAAAAAAAACACGAAAAGGTCGTGAAGAGCACGCTAGAGACTGAGTGCCTAGTTTGGGCACTGACTGGTATGTATGGCTGCATGTCCCTGGGTAAATCACAGCATCTCCAACGCTCAGTTTCACCCATCTGAACCCTAACGATGGTAAAGTCCCATTCTCTCTTAAAATCACAGACTTCAGATGTGTCCCCAGGGTTAAAACAACGTGGAGGAGTCCAGAGGCAGCCCCTAGGCCAAGGAACGGCTTTCACAGGACCCAGATGGGTTTCTAAGAAGAGCAAGTTGCTCACCCACCGCCCCCCCACCCACCCACCCACCCACTGCCTGCACCTGTAATCCTGACTGCTCCGGGCTGGAGGTGGACCTTCCCTGGAGAAGGAACGGAGTGTAGGTGCTGCCCTGGAGGAGGACTGGGGGATGTGGGGGTGCCTCCAGGGTGCCAGCGGCAGGCCAGGCCCAGGTCAGGAGAGCTGGGTCGGAGCAGCTGCACGGCAGGTGCAAGAGAAACAGGTGCAAGAGCAGGTACCTGCTCCTGTCTCCAGGAGTCAAGGTGAACCTGAAACCCAGCCCCTCCCGGCTAAGTAAACAGAAGCAGAGGCTGGCTTGAGCTGATGAATATTCATCACCTCCAGAAATCCAATCCCAGAGCCCCTGCACCCACCCAGAAGCCAGGGTCCTCCCAGGACCGTCTAGCCAGGAGGAGGAAATGCCAGGGGAAGCCTGGGGTGGGGGACTGGAGCCTGTCTTCGCAATGTCCCCACGCACCGGTGCCCGTCGCACCTCCCACAGTAGCCAAGGTCAGCCCCACCACAGGTTTCATCCCCAGGAAGGCTCAGCCCCCTGCCCAGCACCGACTGCCACCTGGACGCTGCCCCGGGCAGACCGTGCACGACTGGGAAAGGGTTAAGGACTGCTGCTCCCTTCTGCCGGGCAGGACAAGGTGCAGCCCAGCTCCTTTGAACTCCAAAGTCGAAACCAGTCCCTGGTTAAACTGGTTGGCAGACCGGTTCCCAGGCTGCCTGCTCCGCCCTGAAGCCTCCCTGTTCCTGGCGGCTGGCATGGGCTGGGGGTCCGTGTTTCCCTCCTACTTGCTGACCCACCTTCCTCCCCCGGGCCGTGAGTCGGCCCATCCCCTGTTACCTACCTTCCTGTGTGGATTGAGTGTGTGCAGGTGAGGCTCAGCGCAGGGCGCTGGGTAGAGCAAAGGCGTGAGAGCCCCCTTCCCCTCCAAGCCACATTGTCACAATCCAGCTCTCAAACCTTCCCCCAGGCTCCAGCCCTGCTTCTACTTGGTTCAGCTTCTCATGGCCTCTTGCACTTTCCCTCAATCCTAAATAGCCCCTGCCTCTCGGG